ATCTTCCATGATGATTCATGGCATAAGAAATTTAGAGCTGGAAGAGAGGCTTTTCAGTCCATCACTTTTTATATTTTGGGTGACGAGGAGACAAAGAAAGACCAAATGACTTCCTCAAGGGATACAGTAGTTAGTAGATAAACTGGAGTGAGGCTCTGGCTTGTTTTCTGATGCACTTTTTTATTTTAAATCTCCTGTGTTAGGGAAAGGCTGTTGGTTTTAATATGCACCTCCCCTAAGTTCAGATTACTATTCAGTGGTTGCATGGTTGGTGAGATGAGTTTTGGTGGGAAAAATCTTAACCCCTTGTTCAGTTTTATTTCATCCTTTCTTAAAATTTCATAGAAGACCTGTGAGCTAAGCTTTTGAATCTCTAGAATAACTTTTAAACTCCAGAGCCTCTGGATATCATCAAGGACTTTGAGAAAGTCATCAGGGCATTTAACCAAAGATAATGAACTTTTTCCCAGAACATCGAATGGCAGTGGGCCTTAGGGTAAGTCAACAATGACCATGCCTGTACTCCAGCTCGCGCCAAAGTACACACATGGAAACAAAGATTTTACATGGAAACAAAGATTTTCAGCACCAACACAGAGCTGTAAGATTGTTAAGAAGCTAGCAGCATGCTGACCAGTGATGCTCTTGCAATAAAGACACAGAAAACTGAATCAATGCTGTTAAGACAATAAGAATGAAGGAAGGAAGGGTGGAAGTAATTGTTTCCCTATGGCTGACTGCTTAGATTGTGGCTATGGCTGCTGTCTTGAAAATGTTCTACCTCATGATCTGCTATGGCCAGCATTTAAGTTTATAAATTCTCTCAACAGTCTGCCGGCCTTCACCACTGATGTCCAAGCTGTCCATGTATGTCTATCTCGTAAATTCCAATACAACTTTCCTGACAAATTACAGAAAGGCAGTTGACCAAGGATTACTTTTATTTCATAGCTTGTGCCAAAGCCCTTCTTGGAAACGTCTGGTTAAAGCAGGTTTGGAGGGTGAGGGAGAGCAGGAAGCACCTGTAAGGACAGGTTACAACTGTGCAATGAAACCTGGATGTCAGGACTCAGCTGGGGAGGCCCAAAGACCAAACTGCCAACCCCACTGCACATGGCCACAGGGACATTTTTTAGGGGAAGCATTCAATCCACTCGGTCAGGAGGCTACCCAAGTCTTGTCTATTCTGTGTACACAGACCTCAGTGAGAGTGACAACAGTTAGTCGACGGCAGCAAATGCCTTGAATTTCCCAAATATACCAAAGTTTTCAGGTTTTGAAAATCTTCTAACATTGTTTCTAATTTCCTCTGTTTATCAATAACATGGTAATGAACACTTTTATTTATAAATCTTTGAATCTTTTTAAGAATTTAAAATGCAATTGCCTGTTACAGTTTACTCTCATCTGAGGCTCTGTTCTGCAAACCACAATGTTTTCCCCTTGGGTTTAATTGTGAAGTCTTAAAAAGATAATAATATTTTGGATAATGGGACAAAAATGCTCAGGAAGCTTGCCTATTCTCACTTTAAACCAAGAGGGACATTTTCGCACCTCGGATAGGAAGCTGTTAAGGTTCGTCTGTTCCCTGACAATAGCTGGCCTCCTGAGTCACTGGCTTTGGAAGGAAGTAGTATGTTCTTTAATTACATTAATTAAGAGAATTTCTTCTTTATTTTTTGGGGGAAATAATATTTTGAAAAAAATATGTGAAGCTTTGGTAAAGAGTCCTCTACTAAATGCCAGGCAATAATAAGCCAGAAACCTCACCTTCCAAGTACTCAGTTGGTTAAACATCTGGCACTGCTGGCGAAGTTGTTGCCTGGGTTGAAGAAGCTATGAAAGGCAATTCTTTTCCTGTCTGCAGGGTGGGGAAGTTCACATTTGGGTTCTTCATCTCTCTTCTCTTCTCTAATATGTTCAATAGAGATGTAATGTTTTCGGGAACATTCTAATAGGCACAGCTTGAAGTCTGAATTTTGATGTTTCCTGTGACTTTTCTAGTTGAATGGCTAGTGAATTCTGAGAGACTTTCGGCCTGAAGCCTCAGCAAGGGCACCTTCAGCTGGATTGCTGTGGCAGCCACTGCTCTAACTGCCCCCAGGCCGATCCAGGCTGCAGGGGGTAGGAGTGGGGAAGACTGTGCTCTCATTTGGTCAGCTTGTGGGAAGGGGGAGTCAGCTCTCAGAGATGCTCATCTGCTGCCCAGATTTAGCTCTGACTGAATTGGCAGCCAGTGCGAACTCTGCGCTATCCAAGAAGAGCAAGCTGATGGATGCAAAGGTAATTCCTGGAGGAGATGGTGGGCTAGATAGCAATGATGACATATTTAGTGCTTCCTCTGAGCCAGTGTTGTTCTAAGCACTTTTATGTACTAATCCATTTAATCCTCACAGCAATCCCATGACGCAGGTATTAAAATGATCTTCTCTTTACAACTGAGAAAACTGAGGCCCAAAGAGGTCACGTAACTTCCTCAAGGTCACACAGCTAGTAAATGATGGAGCCGGGTTTCAAACCCAGGCAGTATGATTGTAGCACCTCGGCCATTAACTGCGCCGGTCCCTTGCCTACAGAGGATGGTGCACTGAGCACAGGCAAAACAGCACTGTCCACCAACGGAAAGGCTTCCGCAGCCGTGGAAAAACCATGAAAGTGTTCACGATGCTTGGGCTTAGGGAAGACAGGAAGAGAAAAATAACACAGCCCTGGAAATGACTGTGACTCTTGAGAACCAGATAGTATCATGCTCTCCTAGTCTCAGAAAGCCCAAGAACCCTAGATATTCTGATGATGGAGATGTGGCACAAGGGCAGCTCTTTACCATTTATGAAGCCTTTAGTATTTCTTTTCAAAATTATGAGTTTAAAATTATCATTTAAGTATGAAACAGCATCAGGTTCAGGAACCTTTTAGGTGCATGTTGCAAATTATATAGTGTAAACTATATAATTTCTACATGCCATCAGTGTAATAGCTGCTCTTCCCACAGAACGTGGGGGCAACCTGTGTTTCAAACTCCTTAAATTAAAATGAAATAAATATGTGAGAAAAGAAGCCATGAACTCTAGAATATATTTCCAGTCTCCAGGGTGATTAAAATAACACCATTCTGAAATGGTTAGAATTACTGTTTGAGGACAATCTATTGTCACTTGGTAGGAAGAAAAAATTCACATGTTAATTGTAAGCATTTGCACCAGTTGTTTTCCAAATCTACCCATGCATAGATTTTATTTGCAGTAGAAAAAGCATTTGTGGTTTCTTAATGAAATAAGTACATGCATGTACACACATACACACAAACACAAACACATTCTCCCATATGTTTAGCAATGATGCTATCGAACTTCGGATAAAGCTGAGACCTTAAATACGTGCTTAACATGCTTAAATACATGGTAGTACATTTTTTATTTTTATTCTAGTCCTTTGGGTATCCTGCTCCAGTGAATTATTTGAATGACTAGAACAGTTACAAAAGTGCTCTGTGGACATTTTCTCCAAATGTAAAGTATTGGAAGGCTGTTTATATAAGTCATGAAAATCTTTAGTCTTGTGTCCTTCTAATCTCGGCGAATCCATCGTACTGACAGAATTCTGCTTTTTCTCTATGCTTAAAGATTGGATTTATTTCCTCAGCTTATCATGAAGAAAAAGAGAAATGAAATTGTACTTTCAGATGGATGTAATTTAGCTTCTGCACATATTCACTGAAGTTTAGCGCTTCTGTAGTTTTCACTCTTGAATTTGTCAAAGCTGAAGCTAAACAGGGCAATCCTCTCCATTTAGTTTTGGTGTTGTTTGGATAACATTAAGTTTATCATAAAAAGTTCTTATTCAGTCTAACAATTTGATTTCTTTAGTACTGTTTGACACATGCACCTCCTTCTTGCACCATGTGCTGGAAACAACCACAGTTTATAAGAATTTTAGGACCACAATAGGACTCAATCATTTTTCCTCTTAATGTTCTCTATTCTGGTGTTTCCATCCATAACATTCTTAACTAAATGGCTTCAGCATGAAAAAATGAACAAGTTTTCCTATTGCTTCTTCTATTCTACTGCTTGTTGGCTGCCCAGTGACTTCTGGAATAGTATTGCTGAAAGGAAAACCATCGAGGAAGCCTGAGTATCTTCAAAGATGACTGAGTGGAAGAGAAATATGACCTCTGACTGTCCCCTGTTGTGCAGACTCACAGGACCTTAGGTTTGGAGGACGCCCGGAGGGGAAGTCACCTACTTCTCCCCTACGCACTGCTGCTGCTTTAGGGGGAGACACTACTATCTCTGGGCCCACAGGACTGTTTTAATGGCCTCCTAACTGTGTCTTGTGTCTCCACTCTTGCTCTTTTCCCTCTATTTCATTTTCTACAGGCAGCTGGACTCATCTTTTAAAAATATATCAGATTTCTGTCCACTGATTAAAACCCTCCAATGGTTCTGATGGATTTAGACTACACTCCAGAATTCTTCCTATGGGCATACGAAGCCCTGTGTGGCCTGGCTTCTGCCTAGTTCTCCGTCTTGATCTCATGCTGCTCTCTCTGTTCACCACACCACAGCCTCACTGGGCTTCTGTGTATTTCTTTAATGCTGAGCTCCTTCCCACCTCAAAGCGTCTGCTCAGACTGCTTTCCTCCTAGATCTTTTACAGATGTGGTTTCCTTCTATCAAACAGGAGTACCCTTCCCCTCACACTGACACTCCCATTTCACTCTGTTTTATTCTTTCCAGTTTAAAATGAATGAGAAGCTTTTATGGGGGTGTGGAGTTGGGGGGACATTAGCTGTGGTCTTGCATTCTTCCTGAACCAAAGGCCAGCATCATTTGGCTAATCAAGTGTTCAGGATGCTTTCTTTGTGTCCACAGCCTGTCACTTTCAGGCTCCATAACATGTCTACAACAGTCCTCTGATCTGCCTGTCCAGTATCCCTGACACCAGAACAAAATAAAAATAAGACCTCTTATTCAAAGGCAGGCTGAGCAGTCACTTACTTATAGTGGATCCGGACTCAGGCCTGTTCAGGGAGCTGATGATGACGAAGCCAAAGCCTTCGTTCTCTTTGCGGTGAATGACCACGTCACTGGTCTGCAGGCTGTGGGAGGTGAAGCCTTCGGGGGGAGAGGCATTGCTACTGGGCACAGCGTGGTTGCTGTTGGTGTAGGTTGCGTAGTCACTGCGTGGAGAGCTGTGGTGGGTTGATACGGAGCCTGGACTCCTCCCGTTCTCTGGGCAGGGCTCCCCTGGAACACACATTGTACACAGGAAATGGGTTAATAAGGGTCATGGTGAGTGCCTCCTGTGTCCTAGGCATTAATAAGGGTCATGATGAGTGCCTCCTGTGAACTACGTATTGTTGTAGACACCAGCACTGTTACAAGACTGGTTGACTGGCTTCTATTCTCCCCAGATGTGCAGAGCATTTGAAGGGCTGCAAACCTAGCTATGGAGCGCCCCAGGTACTGGCCCCTTTTACACCCTATCTCATAGCAGACATTGGTAAAACCCCTCATCAACTTCCTCTGTGTTTTCCTTTTGGTAAGACTGCAAACTCCAGGACATAGCCTAGTTTTATTTATTTTTTTGATAAGGCCTAGTTTTAGATATTAAGCTTCTTAGTTTTACAATAATAATTGATCAAATAAAATCATAAAACAAGTGGGTAGAATCCTTAAGTGTACTGTGCATAAGAATTACTTAAAGAACTTGTAAAAAATATGCATCTTCAGAGTCCGCCCGTGGAAAGTTTTTTCAGTAGATCTAGAGGAGATTGGGCACAGAAATCTGGATGAAGTTTCAAGACCACACTTTGAGAAATGCTGCTGTGGAAGACTTTGTTAGCCCAGGGGATGTCCACATAAAATGACCTACCATAATTTTACTAAAGAGCCATGGTTTTATTTAATTTTGTGATATTCTGTTAGCCTAGATGTGTTAATTCACTTCGTGTAGGTAGGAAGCATCCTTGTTAAAGTAGTTTGTTCACTCTAGGATCAAATCTAACAAAAATATCAGGCTAAAGAATGATGAATTTTGAGTCATTAGGGAAGTGTGTGAGGCCTTGCTCATTTGCATTCTGTATTATTACAAAATATACTCTATTAATCAACCAGATAAACCAAACCACTACTTCCATAAGAAAGCAAGCATATTTACAAGGAAGAATAATAGAAAGTCGGCAGCCAAGAGAAGCTAATTTTTAAAGTGAAAGTTGATCTGTCATCCAGAAAGAAGTTTGTCATTTTAATTTAATACTTAGGTTTTGGTATTTTGATTAAAAGAACTGAAGTGGGTACCTAGAATACCATAATTAGAAATAAGACTGTTTCGGCTCCATCTTACAATTTAATTAGTGTACTCAAAAGATTTTTATGGAACAGAAGAATAGTAAGATGGAAAAGAATCAAAATTAATGATTTCTTTTTGGGTCTCTAGATATGGTCTCCTATTTAGAAGTCTGGAAAGCATTTCATATAGCAAGTTAAAAAAAAATAGCAAAAGTTCCTAAGAAGGCTCTTAACTTTATAATCTGCAATTCCATTCTGAAATGAAAAAGTCAGGGAGAAAGAACACAGACAACAAGAGAGGTTCTGTTACACTGATACTTGAAGAAAAAAGAGCTGTGTTTATTCATATCCCCAGATTAAAAATGGCCTTACAAAAATGTATTCATTTCTTGTTTGTAATTATTGAATGAATAAGATCCAGGCTGTTGCTTATTATCATTTGAAAAATTTGATTTTTTTTTGTAAAGAAGATTTAATTAATCGGGTTTTAATAAAAGAAAACAAATGGATGCTCTTCTGTAAGAAATGTGCTGAGGTCATAAAAGAACAAAATGTCAATGTCAAAGACTTCTTCTCTTTTCTATCAGAACTAAAACTGCCTGTAAAGTGTACCCTTCCTGTTAGAAAACATCATCCAAAGACAAGCTGTTATTGTCTTGGTGAAGCACATGTCCTTTATCAGTCCTTCTGTGAGATGGAAATAAAGTGATTAGAGATAGTCAGGAAGAAGAAAAACAAACAAATTATTATGCTGCAACATTAAATTGAAAATCTCCCTGAGTTATTGGACCAAATCAGTAACTAAATGTCATAGGCAGTGACAAGAGAGATCTTATTTTCTGGCTGTCATATTTCAGGGGGTCGAGAGCTGTGGTTGTCAGTAAAGTGGCAACAAAGAAAAATTATCTGTCTTTGCAATAAATGGCTGGGAGTGGCTTTGCCACAGATTCTACAGGGAGAAAGAAAGTCATCAACTAAGTCAATGTGAGTGGTCCCTAGGTAAGTGAAAGAGTCAAACGCATTAACAAGATACCTTTCTATTGTTTTTGGACTTCTCTTTCAACCTCTAGAACAAAGTTCTTTGTCTATTACAAAAGGGGTCCCCAACTCCCCGGCTATGGAGCGGTACCAGTCAGTGGCCTGTTAGGAACCTGGCCATACAGCAGGAGGCGAGCTGTGGGCCAGTGAGCGAAGCTTCATCTGTATTTGCAGCCACTTTCTAGTGCTAGCATCACCATCTCAGCTCCACCTCAGATCACCTGGCATTAGATTCTCACAGGAACACTGGTTCCTGGTGCCAAAAAGTTTTGGGACTGCTGTTTTACAACATGAACACTTTTAAAACCAGGGAGTTAAAACGACTTTTAATTATTGACTTCACAGGATTGAATTGACTGGACATTATTATCTACTTAGTATGCTTCAGGTCCAAATGAGACTGTCTTCTCTCCAACAACCCTTCCTGGTATAGGACAGGAAAATCATTGTTTTAGAATAACATAGTAAAATGTCACAAAGTGACTAGATACCATGTGCAATTTTTTTTTTTTTAATTCACTAATTCCTAGCATCCCTGACCTATCCTTTTGGCTCACACGCAAATGGGTGTACACAATTCAGTCACTTAATATCTACTCAAGTCAGATAACCAATTTTTAGGTTAAGCTTCTGTTTTGTCCCCAGCAGTCATACTGGAAATCATCACTTTTTGACTGGGAGAGGGTCTTTTCCTGGGAAGTCAGGAGCTGTTGACAATGCCCTACAGGTGAGATGGTTTCAACTAGAGCAGTCGACGACTGTTTAAGGACTGCTCCTGGCCAGCATGCCCAGTTATTATTCTTGCACTGTGTTGACCTATACTTTGTTTAAAAATTGTTAAAATTGTCATTGTTTTTAAATGGGGAGGTTTTACAGAAATATACATTTCCAATCTCTCTCGAAATATTTGGTAATGATCTGCTATAGCTGGCCAAGGGCCACTCTCTCTTGACTAGGTAGGCAGTTTGCAAATCACCACAGTTCCAATCATTCCCCAATGTCTCTTGCAAATTCCTGATTTATTCATTTACTTGTAGGGTGAGGAGTATGCAAGGCCAAAGGGACCTGTTTAACTGGAGCCCTTGTTTCTCTTCTAGATTACACACTGGATACCAGGACTCTAGGGTTCTGTAACCAAACAGATCTTGCCTGCTTCTGGGGTGTTGCCTAGGCTTCTTCTTAGTACTGTCCCCCAGAAAGATGACAGCACTATAGATGCACATGTCTTGTCTTAAAGTATCGCTGAGGCAATGGGTATGTGTGTAGACAGAGCTTGGACATGCAGGCTGGAGAGTCGATGTGCATGTGTACCCTCAGGGTGCCTGATGGAGAAAGGGGCAGCCCACGGGCTGTGGCCCTGCTAATGTTAGGGGCTGGTCTGCCTGCAGTTTGCACACTCCTGGTTTATACTCATCGAGGCAGACAATGTATTTTAATGGGTGACATGCTCATAGACAAAGAATAAGGGAATGCATTTAGAATTAACAAAAAAGTATAGTAACCAGAACCAGGGAATCTACTGACTCCCTAAACATTGACTAAACTTTTCACCCAGCTGCCACGAAAACCTTCTCTTTCTCGGCATTAGGCCAAGACTTAGACTTTCTCTTAGATGTTAGAGAAAAGACAATGATAACTCTAAGACAAACTCAACATGTTTTGATTAAGTCATAAAATTTTTTTTTACATCACTTTTAGATTTATACTTTAAGAAGTTCCTCAGAGACCCCTTCTTTCAGATGAATAGTATGTATTCAAAATAATGTGACATTAGGTTGAACATCTCAAAACTGAACTCTTAAACATATAAATATTTATACTTTCAGTGTAATAATTAAAGGCACTCTTGTACTATCCTTGGGGAAAAAAACAACTAAATATTGGAGCTGGGGGCATGGATAAGACATCTCTCAAAACTAGTTTAAGGTACAAGATCTGTGATAAAATTATCTGTTAAATAAAATTGGATGCATTACTAAATGTTTCCTTCCTTTACTTCACAATTTCTCATTTTTGAGGCTCTGGCTTGTCATTGACTAACTGAAAATATTGCCTTTCTATCTTTAGTGTGTAAACTTTTTCATATTTTAATATTTGGAGCAGGTTTATGTGTTATTTAAATTTTTAACCCAATGTAACCTACCAGTCTGTATCTCTCATAATAAATATTTTAATTTTTTGAGCACCAACTAAAAAGCTAGTGCCCAGTGTCTTCTGAGGTGGGAAGGACATTTGAACAAGCTGAGGAAGCATAAAGCTTAAGGGTATGATATTTTGATGTCCCTTCTTCCCAGCAATTTCTCCATAATACTGCTCCTTTGTTCAAGAAGGTGGCAACATTGTGCCTTTCTTGTTCATCTTCCGTCTCTTCATGGCTGATTGCTCACTTCCCTTCAGCTTTCATCTCATCATAAGCCAGACTTGCACCTCCCACTGCCGTTGCTTAGGAAAGCATAATAATAATGATAACAACAACCTTTGAAAAGGCATCTCCACTGTCATATCCATTTGTAGTTGTCCCTTTTCACTGCTGCAGAAATGGCAGCTATGAGGAAAAGCTGTCTTTCTATGCGTTTTTTATAAATCTGTTTTATCCTGTTTCTAGGCATTTACTATCAAAGTATCCTTTGCTGAACTTAATCATTTTCATACTGATGAAGCTTTCAAGGAAGAGTGGGCTGAATTAACTTGGAAACTCTCCTGGTGAGAATGAGCAGTCTTCAGCAGAACATTTTAAAAAATTAAATGCACTCGAAATGCACTTGAAAGCCTAAATGAGTAAAGTTGGTAAGAACCGCAACAAAGAGCATCTTCAAGGAAGTCGCATAATCTACAAATTGCAAGAATACATTTTTGTAGCATTTGGCATACACTCCAATAGTTTGGGTTGGGTTGATCAGAACAAAATTTAATTTTCAATAATCAGCTGGCGGCAAGGGGAACATGGAATTATGTTGGTGCATTGGTTTTGCACTTTGCAGTGTGTTTCCTTGCAAATCAGGTATCTTTTAAATTTCTCTTAGGGTTACAGAACATACAGTACAGCAACCTTTTAATAAAAATCACTTTGTAGGGAGAGAGACAGTCAAATGTTAACCAAGAAAACACTGTCTTCCTTCTGGCATCTCATCCAAGGATAAAGCAGAATTCAAGGTGTTTTACTTCTTTGGGTCAAGTCAAATGGTATGCCGGGAATTTCTGAAGATTAATAGTATCTCTTAGCAAAACCTCCATTTGACACAAGATATGTAGCAGTCTCTACTGGTGACGGCTAACAGTTCTTTTTGACTTGCCCTTTTACATGATTGCCTTGCTCAAAGTCTAGTTTCTAGATGAATAGAATAGAAAAAAATTTTTTGTTTGACTAGTAAACCTTATCCTCTTGAGTCATTCATAGCCTGTGATTAGCCAGTGGTTCATTTTTTTTTTTAATTCAAATATGTTATAATAATAACACATATGAAGGACTCCTTATGTTTGGAAGTGACATTTGCTAAAGATTGGTCTAATGTCTTTGATTTACTGGAACTGGTGATGATGGTAGAGTGTGGGGGACTAAAAGTGGCATAAAAAATCAGTGCTGGCCCCAGAGAAGACTCTGCTTCATCACCGACTTGCTGCACACCGCCGGGCAAGCTTCTGTACCACGGGGCCTCAGTTTCCTCACCTGTAATACGAGGGAACTGATGTTGCTAAAGTCCCTTCTAATTCTAGCATTCATCATTCTGTACAAGGGGCAGTCAGGTCCCTGAGCAGAGAGGCCAGTAGGCCACTGGGACAGAAGGCGACAACTGAACATCGTTGGAGCTGCTGCTCCTGTGAGTCACAGAACCAAGTGCAGGCAGTTTGGGACTATGTTCTCAATGTTATTGAGTGCTCAGACTATAAAAAATAGTGTGATGCTTGTAACTGAGTTATTCCTTAAAAATATAAATTTTTTTTGGAGGGGGTAGGGTTGAGATGATGAAGAAAGAAATTTATTATGACAACGAAGGCTGACTTTTACAAGTCTGTCTTTGATGGATTCTTTTATGAAGTTGGGAAAATGGATGCAAAGGGAATAATACTTCTAATTTGTCTGTTTCATAAGTTTGGAGTTATATGAATTGTATTTCCTCAGAGTGATGTACAGTTACATTTCTCTAAATCAAGGTAATAGTTTTAATATTACTTCTATCAGGCCCTACAGTGGAAGCTAATTTTCCATCTTCCTTGCCTTATTACGGTATCAAAATGCTGTAGTTCTTGGGTTGTAAACACAATGAAAAACATTTTCAAAAGTCATATTTTTCACTACTATAATGTTATAACTAGCATCTACCAAAGAACATACACATCTTAAATTAGCCCTAGGCTTTGCCTGAAAATTTTAATGACGATGTTGAAAATGTGGGCCACAAAGACTGCTTGGAATTGTACTAGTGGGGTGGAAATCTGCACTTTCAAAATCAGTTACATTTGGAGTATCTAGGTTGTTCCCCCCACTTCATTTAATATGGAAACTGATTTAAAATTTTGTTTCAAGTGTCTTTATCATGTCTCACACAAGCATCTCCACCTAACCCTCCACTCTTGATGCTGGCTCAAGCTGCATACCTCCACATAGCACCTTTCTTCTCACAGTGAGGTTGACCTGCCCGTTCCGGGCTGCGTGGTGCATAAGGTCAATGACATAGCGGTGGGTCTTGCCAGCCACTGGAATTCCATCAACGTAGACGAGCTCGTCTCCTGGGTGTAGGCGGCCGTCTCTGTCGGCTGAGCCCATGGCAATGACGGCTCCAATCAAAATCTAGAGAAGCAGTGAGAAGGAAAAGACATTTACATTTCAAACATTACATATATGTGTGTGTGTGTGTGTGTGTGTGTGTATACATATATATACACACATGTATATATACATACACACTCACATACATACATATATTCGGTGGAAGATTTTAATCCCACATTTTATTCCTTGCACCAAACCTGAGTACGTACTTGAAAAATGAAAAATAAGAGGCTGAAGGATGCCCTTCCAACTCTCCAAGTTGTTACCTACATCTAGAGAAATATTTTGAGCTAGCTGCTGAGGCCATGAGGTTTGGGGATCCCTTGTTATCTGGCTCATAAATGATCACCCTTAAGAAAATTCTAAACCTGAATAATCTGATGCTGTTGGTCACCACGCATGGGCTCTGAATTGAAACAAGTTGGAGATTGAATCCTGGCCTCGCTTCTTATTTGTGTCACCTTGGGCAAAGCTTCACTTCGGTGAGCCTCAGTTATTTCATCTGCAAAATGGGGAAATAAAATAATAGGACCTACTTTATGAAGTTGTTGGCAAATTAAATGAAATAATGTATGCAGGGCATTTGACTGTTTATGGCACATAGTGAGTACTCAAAAATGTCATGAGAAACTGGCTGCTGTATATTTTTAAACTCTGATAAAAGTTCCAAGTGCTTTTTTTTTGTTTGTTTCATTTATTTTTTGCTTTGCTTTGAAAAACTTAAAGTAAGAAGAAAACAAAACAAAATTCATGTTTGTTTTTTCCTGGCTAGTTGACTCACTTAAAAAAAATCTCAGTCAAATCACCTCCAGATTTTAGCTTTTTTTCCATTAACATTTCTTCAGAGTACTGTCCTCTGCACAAAGGACATTCCCAGTTCTGCCTGTCCCCTGAATGTCTCTGCGTTTAGGTGGCTATCATATCAATGAGGAGGTACACATCTGGGAAATGTGCGTATTATTATAATTCCCTGAACCAGGGACTATTATGAAAGGCATAACATAAGGTTTCCCACTTCGCATTAGAAACACTCAATTTAGTGTCCATTAGTAAGCCTTTTTTTCTTTATCAGAGGAGAGACAATGGCACTTAATATTTTAGTTTTGTTGTTTAAACAATTTTTTCCAACTCATGGAAAATAGACAACCTTTTTCTTTTGCCATGCAATTTAGCCATATAGCATCTAAAGGCGGTAGTTACTATTAGCCAGATAAAATTATAGAGCCTATATTCTAGGTTTTATTTTAAATCTTTATAAAATGATCACTTGCTCACAGATTGATTTCTTTCAGGTGCAAAAACTCCTTTCAAATCTCAAATCTGTGGATTCCAGCTAATTTGCAGACTTGCTGCATTGTGACTCTCAGGTGTGCATATCCTCAGGCTCGGCAGCAGAATGATTTCTTTGTACTTGGTCACATAGCTCAGTGTGGCCTGTGAACATGGCAACTAGATCTAAATGCCCAAGACTTCTCAGGTATGTATAAAATTATAGTCTGAAGAGTTCTTTTTTTTCCCCCTGATGACTTCACAGCCGTGGTCTACTGAATAATAGCTCCTTTTATACAGAAGAATAAAAACTCCCCATCACTACAGCAGCTTTCCCCTAATTCTGGAAGGTAAGGTGGGGTGGGGAATAGATTTGCTTCCATGTTGAATATAGTGCTCCGATGCATGATTCATTATCGCTCTCACAGGAAAGGCCTCACATCTCCTGCAGTAGATTGGCTAGCTACACAGTGCAGTTGCTTTCCTGCACCCTTCTGTACCCATTTGCTAAAGTCCAGCTGTTGGACATGCTTCTGACAGCCTCCATTTTCCCTTATTGTCATGCCAACCTGAATTGATGAGTTTCTTTCTGAAGGTGTTCCAATCTATTCTTCAAAAGTCTCAATCCACTAAGGAGCACTTCAAAGATTTGTTAAGTGCTTTGTGCAAAAGCCAGTTAAAATAAATGTTTATGCTTTTCCACCACCCCATGAAAAGCTGCATTTAGCTGGGTTAGCCCAAAGAAAATGCTTCGACCTTTAGGTTTTCTGTATGCATTAGAAGGGTAGTTTATAGGTGGTTATAGAGAAAAATATGGCTTGTGAGCTTCTTGGCTGGTTAATTATCAACTTCAAGCTATATTTCTGATTCTAACTGATCAAAGTGAACCAAAAAATAGGTTACAACTGAGAGAACCACACTTGCAATTGGGTCCTCTAAAGAAGTTGTAAAAATGAAATTTTACATTGGAAAATTCCTGTTCCTCTCTTGTTAAAGGAAAACAGCAAAGATATACAGATACCACCGAAGTTATCTCCTGTGCTACTAGCTTATGTCACCCATTAAAAGAAAAATTCCAGTAAAACATCTGCTTTTCTGCTGTATTGCAATATGAGGTACTTTCCTCACTAATTAATTCATTCTTCCAGCAAATATTCAATGAGTCCGGGGACACTTCTAAGTGCCAAGAATCCATCAGTGAGCAATATACAAAAATCACTGACATATAGAGCTTCCATTCTAGTGGTCAGACAATAATAAATGTAATAAATCTGTAAATTATGTTGTATGCTAGCAGACATGTACCATGGAAAAATAGAGCAAGGTGGGATGGTGGGTGGTGTCAGTTATGTGGTGTTAGAGTTGGTTAGAGCAGGCCTCTGAGAAGTCAACATTTGAGCAAAGACTGAAGTTCACAGGACAAATTTTTTAGAACTTGAAGCTTTAATCTTCAATCTTTAGTTTGTTTTATCAAATATTATATATTTTTAAATAAACTATATTCAATGTACACTTCAGTTGAATATCCAAATAAACTGTACATATTCAATATACTTTAATATAATTTATAATTATAATA